GTGTACAACACCACCACCCAGCTTACATGATTTCTAAAATGACATTCTTGTTCTTCAATTTGGTCCTTAAGTCAGTACTTCAGTAGCTGAGTAGGATGAGAATGTTCTCATCCTACTCAGGGATAGAGGAGTCTAGTATGGGGCATTGAATCTCATGGGGGTTGTGTGTGATGAGGGGGGAGGGGCACAGGAGTGTATGCATATGAATATGTATTTTTAAAATGAGTATATGTATATATAATCACATAAAGCTCCCCAGAACTATACTCTAGAAGCAGCAGCATCTCCATTTTATTGAGTCTAACAACACATATACCTTAGCTTCCAAGTACCAATTTTCACTACAAAGTAGGATGATTGATTTGAAAACTGCAGCAAATCTACAGCGACACCACCCTGAAAGTGCCCAATCTTATCTTGGACTCGAAGCACAGATGGGCCTGGTTAGTATTTGGATGGGAGAGCTAGAGTAGACAAGTACAAAATGAACTAGGAAAGTTCTGTTCTGACATTTTAAAAGCACTGTCTTGTACTCAGTGCTTTTAAAATGTCACGAATGCCAAAGGAGCACAAGAGCCATCCTGAAAAGGCTCTCATTAACTAGAGATAATCCTCATGAATCCCTTGAGTAGAAAACTGATAATAAATTGTAATCATGTTTAGACTATGATACATACAAAGCAACTCCCACATCATTTTAAGGGAAAGCAGCAGCTCTACACTGTGCAGAGACACCATCCCTGAACAAATGGTTAAACAGCGCTTCAGGAGTGGCTGAGGTAAAGCTGTGAACACCAAGAGGGTGCAGAGTGCAGAATAGCAATATGATGGTCTCAAAGAAGTATTACTGGATCCGACCATGAGCAAACAGGAATCCAAACTCAGGGACATAGTAACTAGCCTGTAATCCACAAAGTATGGAGGGTTTGAAAAGTCAGAGGCAACAGATGTTCCATCAAATGAACTGCAGATGATCTGCAGTGGTACCTGATTTTCATCTGGATCCCAGAGTAAGACACAGAGACAATGTAAAACTGAAGTGGGGTCTGAGGACTAGATGTCAGTTACATGTCAAAGCAGATTCCTGAGTGTGACAGTTATGGTCAGACAGAATTCTTCTGGAAAATGCAAAAGAATTGCAAGAAAACATAATGGGAGCAACTTATCCCCAAAGAAGTTTTTGCTTTGTACAGTCCTTAAAACCTTTTCTTTACATTTGAGTTTATTTCAAAAGTTTCCCCCCAAAAAAGTGAATATAGACAATGAATATCCTTATTTTTAAAAAGCTGACAAAAAATTTAATGTAACATATAAAACTCTAAAAACACAATTTTAGTTGTGGTGAATTTAGTTCAAGTCTTTCATCTCTGTGTACAAACATGTTTTGGGTTTTCTTAATTTTCTTAGACTTTTTCTTCATGGATGACTTTCTGAATTACACATGCACGTTCGCGCGCGCGCGCGCGCACACACACACACACACCTGCAGTGTATGACAGTAGTGTTCACAGGTGTTGTTCAGTAAAGTTATATGAATTCTATTTTTTAAATAAAAATGTTATCACTATAAAAATAACATCACCCCCTTGTGGTAAAATTTGAAACTACATTCTATCGGAGAATCCTAATAGGCACTTAGAAAGTATTTTCACACAATTTTATGTGTGTTTTCTACCATATTTACAAAAGAATATATGTAGAGGTAGTCCCAGTCTCCTTTAGGTTGGCACTGTGTCTGGATTTCTAGTTGGATACCTCTATAGTAAAAGTCACACATTTGACAGAAGTGCTACAAAAAAAGACTCAAGTTCAAAGAAACATGAGATTACCACAGAACAAAGATAGAAATGACTACTGGGCACAAAGAGTGGCCTCAATGAAGGGCATCTGCATTACACCAGCATCAAGGTTTCCCACTTCGTCAAGTTTAACCTAGAATTTGGAAGTCCTCCTAGGAGATCAGTTCTATTGAATGGGTTCTACCCAATCTTTACCTAGCTTCCCAATATAAAAACATAATAGAAAAGGTCTTTTCTTCATTTAAGATTGTCAATAGTGATAAAAGTTATGAGTGCATTAGCGTTCTCGTTCGAGATTCTTACTCCCAATCTGAGCCCTCTATTTCTCCCATTTGATAGCAGGCATCAGTATGTCTGCTGTATGTTTACTGATCTTTTGACTATAAGGTAAGTTAAGTGCTTTCTGGAATGTAAACATAATTTTTAAATTAAAAGTGGCTCAGTTGGTTACTGCCTCTTAAACGCTGTAATATAAATATCAGTATCCTGGTTAAAATGAATTATCGACAGCTTTAACACACGTTGCACAGAGCATATTAACAGAAAAATACATGTCAGCAAAATAATGTTGACCATATTCTAATCCATTCCATCTGCTCAAATATTAGTGCAAATAATTATACATTTGTGATGCCTCACTGCTGTCCAGCACAAACCTATGCCTTCCTAATAATGCCTTTCTTTTGAGGTTGTTTGCTATTGGGAGCATGATACGATATACTTGTATTTAAATTGGCTTTGTACATTAAGGCAGATGGCAACCTTTTAGCCACTGAGGAATCGAGCAACTGTGCTTGTTTGTCCTTTTCGCTCCAAATGGATATTTAGTTATAAGAGTGAACGTTTATTGATACCTACACCAAATATCACCAAATAGCAGTGATAAAATATGCAGTGCCTACTTTAAAACTATGTATTTAGTTAAGCCCAGGGAAGCCAGCTTCATTCACTGATGAAAATTCCAGTAACTATAAATTATTAATAGCTACTTTTTGTCCTACAAACATTTTCATTCTACACTAGCCATTTTAAGACTACTGATGCTTTTAAACAGCTAAGAGAATCAGCAAGCCTATGACATTTAAAGTACTCCATTTCTGAATGTAAAAATACTGATTTCTTTCTGTTTCCTAAGGGGGAGTTATTTTTTTCTTCCATGTGATAAAAAACTACATAAGCCTATGTACATGTGTATACACATATTCCTAAATTCATAATTATAACATGTTATTTGTATGCATGTTTTCTGGGCTGACCAGAATTTAAAGGAGAGCAAGGAGGGGGGTAAATGAGAAGGTTTGGAGAGAAGAACAGGAAGGGGTAAATGTATTCTGTAATTACATTATAATCTCAAAAAATAAAAAACCCAAAACTTTTATGGAATAACTAGACTCTATTATTAAAATCATTAAGCAGAAACAATATATATATACATATATACATATATGCATATATACATCACTAAGGGAAACCTCTGTGATGGGCAGATTTCCACTAAATACAAACTTAATATTCAACTAAAATTTCATGACTACTTATATAACTTCAAACACCAACTGAGAAAGTATGATCGAACACTGAATATAGTTTAAAAAATCCAGAGGTAGCTTGATATAGATCCTGTATTCCAACCTCATTATCTAAACTTCACAGTGAGACTCAAACACTGTATGAAAAGAAAATTAAGTAAAACTAATGAGGCTATCAAAACAACGAATAAACATGTTACACAAATAAGAAAAATACAACATAAATTATAAAAAAGGCATTATTTACTCCCATTATATGAGATTTCAGTCTGGTATAGGCCTTGAAGGTTTCCTTACCTGTTCTGTGCCTTAGGTTTTTTTACCTGCCAAACAGAAATAATAGTACCCAAATGATAGTTACTCTGGAATCAATAATATATGAAAAGGACAGCACAGTACATGAGACTTAAGTCCAATAAATGTGGATATAATTATCTTTACTATATATTAAAATTTTAAATTGCTGGTTTTACTTCATACAAAATTATTTGGTATAATGATATGCACTGGTCTTCCTTCCCAAAATATGTAGTAGATTGTAGGATAAGCCTTCTCCAGTAGGGTAGTAAAGGAACTGAATGTAATTCAACAAACTGGATAAATCAAAGTACTTTGCATACAAAAGTCTCCGTCAGCAATTAAGAAAGTCCAGGATGATTCTAGAAAATTTCTCACACTCCTGAAAAATCAGTGGACAGTGTGTGAGCAATGACGGAATTTTTTTTTTAAGAACACCATGTTAATCAGGAGATATAAACTTTGCTGATCATAACAAGGCATAATATGAGTGCCCCTTACTCTTGCACTAACAATTCAAGCATGTCTTAGCTTTATGAGACTCAGTGGCATTTTAGGAGCCAATATCTCTTCGTCTGGATGTATGCTAATGTAGACACAAGCATCTTAAGAAATCAGTAAATTCTTTACTTTGAATCAATCTATTAACTGACAATTATGTCACTGTATGTAAGAGAGCTGGTATTCAGAAAGTGAAATATTTAGAAGTAAAAGGAAAGAGCAAAAAAAAAAAACATAAATTACCTGCTTTAAATTTTAATTTAACCTCCTTTAACCTATATTAGCAGCAAGGAAAACAAACAAACAAACAAACAAACAAAAAACCAAGTAAGACCCTAGAGAATTCACAAGAACCGCATTCCTAAATGAGGCCAGTAATTGTCTTGGAATGATTAATGGTCATATTCTAAAAATCCATCCACCTAACTATTATCTAATAATTCTTGATAAGGGCTCATCATGTACTCTATCATTTTCAATTAATTCAGGAGCCATTCTAAACTTATGTATAAGGACGTATATGCCCTATCATTTCCAGTAATTCAGAGGCTAGCCTTCCTTTCTTAGTCTATGTTCTGCGTCTCACACTAAGACACTCAAGTAAACAATTTTCAATGTTTTGGAGAAAATTTTAAATTATATATTTATACCTAAATATTATGTGTAATTCACACAGAACTGTGGACATTATAAAGATTCTTATTTAAATTTTGGTAAAAGTTATTAAGCTCCACTATGTCTAACTAAAATTTTCCCATGTATATATAAAAGCATTTTATCTACTGACAATCTCTTTTGAGTTATACATTTTGAACTAAATTTTATGATGCTCATATATGTAAATACTTTAAAAGTGAAATGCACAGAATGCATACTGGTTTAAACAACACATATTTTTATTTCTTTAGATAAACACCCTATTCTAACTAGATTCCTAAATCTTAATTATACAATCATGTTCTTTTCTGCAAAAAGGGGGAGACCTAAGCTATGAAAAATAAGGAATACTTTTAGTAAAAAACCAAATATATAATTCACTATAGATGTCCTTAAAATGTAAAAATAGGGTGAAAATAAAAAAAAAACAACTGCAGGGAATTTGTTTATTGAGCATGAAAATTAACACTTCTAAATAAGGTATTCACTTTGAATTTTCTTTGTCCTGTCAGTGGACATAATAGAAAATATTGCACAGAACTCAAGCATGGAAATAATAATTAACAAAATATCTAAGCAACAAGTAACTGCTTTACATTTTTTAAAATCAATCCAAACAAAATAATTTGAAGTGCTTTTCTGATTTGGAAGTCATAAAATGTTATCTCATGTTTTATTTTGATTTTTTTCTTCTTCTTCTTTTTTTTTTTTTTTTTTACAAATTGACACTGTACAAAGAGTTCAAATGGCCAGTATAACTACTGCCTTAAAACTGTTGGCTTTAAGTAACAGAGGTATAATCTGAATTCACACCAGTACTTCCTAAAGTGGCAACAGTACAAGCATAGAGCTTTTCTAATATCTAGAACCTGTTCTGGCTCTCCCTTGCCTGAGGCTAGCTATCCAGAAAGCCTCTAAAACTGCCACACTGTCCTATAAAAGTGACAAAAGTTGTCATGCTCACTGCCCTTGCTTACCTTAGTAACACTGGGCTAAACAGAAAATGAAAATCCAGTCAATAGTAACTTGTACAGTAGCTAGTTCTGGACTAGACAGCTTAGTAATGCTGACAGCTATTGAGAGTGAGGTTCTCATAATTAAAAAACAGTTCCCCCCAAATTAGGCCAAACCTACATTAAGAGAAAACAATACTATGAATGAAGTGAACATTACAGCTTACCTGGGTCCTAGAAGACCATGAACAATATAATGGACTATATATAACTTAGAATGTATTCCCACATAGTAAGTTAATAGGGCTTTTAGAGCAATGGCCTTTCTAAATTTTATTCGATGTTTAAAATTGTGAGTGATTTATTACTTTACTATATTAAGCCAATTCAATTAGTAGCATCCAATATTCAGAAATGCCTTGAAAATGGACAATGGACAATGAAAGAATCTTCAGATCTGAAAAGCAGGTTTTTGCTGTAAGCTTGCCTCCAAATTTGGAATATATACTACTTATTACCTGAAATTCTCAATTCCTCTTAAAATAGAAGACTACTGCATGTTTAGCCATCCCATTTCATTCAAGATTGGCCTTAAGGGACTGACTGCACTGTTGCCAAACATGTTGCTATTTCAACCATTTACACTATGTCACCTTTTTACTCAGAGTATTAAAATAACAAACATGGTCCTTTAAAGTATTCCACCTTAAGTTAAATATAAAACAAGGTAGTTTCATTAATTTCTTGCTAATTAATTGGCTTAAAACCTATTTACCAAATAAGAAATAGTAAACTTTAAGTTTTACCCAGAAAGCAGATATATTCTGATCTGTTCCTAATGTCTACTTAAAACAGGTCATCATTTTAGTTTAGTTCATAATATTTTCCCTGGACTAGCACTGCTGCTGTACCTCAGGAAAAGTCCTCCAACCACCTACAGAAACAATGCTCATCTGTGGTCCTTTTGAGTTGTAACAAGTTCTTTAGGAAAATCTAATAACTTGATTAACAATCACCAGTGCTGAAAGTTAACTGAAAAACTGATAAATAAGAAATATAGTTCTACTGCACTTCACCTATTTTAATGCAAAACAGGATGGTAAGATTTCCAGATAGAATACGTTAAAGATCAAGAACCAGAACACTGGTGAAATTTCATTCATCTTCTGACACCAATGTTTTTCAGGATTATAACAATCATGTATAGGTTTATAGAATTTGAAACTTATAAATTAAAGTATGGAATTCAATGTAAACAGGGAAAAGATAAAAAGCAAAATATAGATAGATAGTGGTGTCCAAATTTCAAATAAAATTCCTGGGTAAGTATGGCTGCTGTTTGCTTCCAGTCATTTTTTCACATAAAATATTGGTTGTGTCACAGGAATCTCCTGTGCTTTCTATCATCCGAGGCCTTCTGAAATAGAACACATTTCCTTTGTAACTTCAACTCAGCTGAAGTGTCGAGCTAGGCGAGCAGATCTATAGTCAGCACGAAGTTGTACGAAGGAGTGAAGTATGTTCTTGTCCAGACTGGCAAGCTGTTCCCCTGAGCAGACTTGCTTTAAATTATCTGGAGCAACGACCAGGAGATTGCAAAGTGCATGCAGAGTGTCAAAAAGATGTAATACCATTGGAATCTGAATTGAGAAAGGGGGAAAAAAAAAAAAGCATTGACCTACAACAATTTATTTCTGCAAATTCTTCTCACATACTGCTAATCAGAACTTGGTAATATGAGAGACATTGCATATGTTAGAATTTTTAAATCTCAGGGGTTTCCATAGTTAAAACTCTTAATAATCTTTGGAAAGATCCCTTTTATTCAATTTTCTCAATAATCTGTAATCTGGTACACTAAAACTAATTACCATTTGTACAAAACTTTAAAAATAACTTAAACATGAGGGAAAACTGATTTCAGAGAAACATGCATGAAGAAAGAATGTTTCCCTAATTTGTGACATAAACATCATTTTTTTTGTGGATGTTAAAGGGCACTTAGATACAATGTGGTGAAATATGACCTTATGGAAAATAAAATCCCTAAGAGGGAAGTGCTAATATTGAAATGTAACTGGAATAACATGCATTCAGGTAGGCTATACTATGATGCCAATGAAACCACACACTTCTTAACAAGTCAGTATAGGTTTTTAATGGTATGGCCTGTTTTCCTGGTCTTACTTACAAGCTCAGTATTTGTTTATACGTACCTTGAAGTCTTTGGCACATTTTCTATATTCAGCTACATCGCAAATTGCTAACATGCCACCCATACAACTATAGGAATATTGTTGAAGATGTTCATAAATGAGTCGATGAAAACGTACTCCAAGTTCCATCAGAACTGTGTCTACATTCTTCCCATCCATGGAATTTTTAATCTTCTCAACTTGTTTTCTTACATAAACACAGACTTTTACACATGCCTGTAAAAGTTTTTCTACACTTATTAAACAGATATGTGTATCAGCTTAGCAAAGAAAATACAGGTTTTCAATTTCTAAGTATAAGAGAAAAAACTTAAAGCACAATTAGGCACACTAATGAGTGTTCAAGCAACGACAAAGGACATAATATATTAGCAAGCTGAATAGTTCCACTCACATTAGTATACTGAATCAAAACATTGTTTTCATCTTCTGGCTTAAAATCTGTTTTCTTTTGTTCTGCTGCCAAGATATGCTTCATCTGTCCAATCATACAATTTAATGTCCTAAGGATTGAGAACACAATATATATTTAACTTGCTCAATTTTACCTTTGTATTATACTAAATTAACTTAAATTATTTAATTTCCTATCATTACAAAACTACTTGGTGTTGGCAAACTAGACTTCAGAAAAAAAAAAAAAAACTAAACTGAAATCCAGATGCAGAGAAGGAGGACTGATGAGCAAATTGGTCCATACCAGATTGGTGAAAAAAATTTATCATCTTTCTCCCTTGAAAGGATCTTGGAAACCTACCACTAGTTACTTACTTCATAAGTAAGGATCTAAGTCAAAGCCATACATAGAGAATATTTAGGAAAGTGGAAGATAAAAGGCTTAAAAAGAATGGCTGTGGTAGCAAGCACATTGAGTCCCACAGTCAAAAAATAATCAGGAAGATGGAAAAGTGGTACTAAATCCCAGCTGAAAAATAAAGGCACTGATTAGAAGGCACCAATAATATTTAACTCATGTGACATCCTCCAACAGCAAGCTTATGGGGATAAAAAAAAGACTACACTAATTCAGAGTTTAGTAGTTGCAAGACAGTCAAAATGATAAGCTTAATGTTAAATTCAAGAAACAGACCACATAATTAAGCACAACAATAATGAGGTCAAGTTACAAAAGGATAGTAGAACAACGTAAGATGCTGAGATTAAAGGATATAGATCACATCACAGTCCTTGTACTGTGTCTGATATATCAGCAAATACTTGATAACCAGGGGCTATACTAATTTTCAATCAATATAAGAAGACCATGTTCTGAAAATAGAAACCTGGAAAGTAATAGTATTTATAGTCTTCAGTAAAGATTATAAAGTTTTAAAATTCACTTAGCAGAAGTTACATATACAAAACCAATACAATTATTAAAATATTTCATAGATAAGCCAGAGCACATTAAATGGAAATATAACAAACACTGAATACCTTTGTTGCTTCAGCAGAATTTAGGATTGAACCAAGGGTTCCCCACACTCTAAAATGGTCTACCCCTGAACTACATCCCAGCCCAACATCTTATTTTAAAGGAATTTGTAGCTTGTACATGTGTGGTGCAGACGAGTGGGGTTTAAAAGGGTTTTGTAACTGTTTTGATTTGAAAATATATCTAAGCATACTAACTTTGAAAAGAAAAACATACCAAAAAACACCTTGGGGATTAATAAAAATAGCATTCTCCTGAAAATAAGAACAATGTGTTAAAGTGTCAACTTTACAGCCAGAAGAATAAAAATAAACATACTTTCTTTTATAAAAACCATGTTCATGCTGCAATGCAAATGCACTTCTACAATTATTAAAAATGCAGGAGAAAAACAGTTAACTTACCTATCGATGCCAGTATCCAATTTCATTTCCATCTGCTCAATTATCTCTTTTTTCTTCTGAAGGCATTCAGATAACTTAGGAGAAGAGCTATTGTTTATTAAGGAGGAAAACAAACTCCCATTAATAGCCTACTTTCTATGTTTCTAATCTGTACAACATGAATACATATTTGTAAATAGACTGTAACACCCATTATTTTTATTTGCTCATATACACAATAATTATAAAATAAATCATTACATACAATTATGTACATTAACATACCCAATTCATTAATACTAAAAAAATTAACCCATTAAAAGCAAAGAAAAAACAGACTTGTTACTCTAATCACTGAGGAGATAGCACTTTGAAAATTTGAAACTAGTTTCCTCTGTATCTAAATATCTGGTATAATAGTAAGAAAAGTAACAGATAATCCTACTAACAAAAATGTGGACAGTAGTAAGTAAATCCTGCTACATTTAGCTTTTTTTAAAATAAAAAGATACAAAACCTAATAACCATGGTAGGCTTCTGAATACTATTAAAACATTAAGGAATACACAACACTAACACCTCTGTGAATTCTCTGTTATGACATGCAGCTTTTTACAAAATAATTCACTAAGAAAACTTCCTAAACTGGGCTTGGTGGCTCATGCCTGTAATACCTGCCTAAGCTACACAGCAAAACAGTAAATTTCCTTTCAAAGTATGATTCAGGAATAATAAGTGATCTGTGAGCTTGTTTCTCGTCTAGACATGTCATAGAACTGTTTATAAAAAACTATGAAACTCTCTAGTTTATCTGAACATTTCCTGTATAGATAATTGTGCTAATGACACAATTTTATGTAATATATATATTATACATTACTCCATTTAATTTCAAATGCTTTAGAAGTCCATATAAATTAATATGAAGATATGAATAAAATCTTAATGCATTATCAAAATTTGTCCATTCATGTTTTTTTGTATGTCTTTATAACAAGTGTATCGTGTCTATTGGTGTGTATATGTGTGTGTGTCTATGTGTACATGTTACTTGGGAGTGAGCCCAGGAGCTTGTAGATACTAAAGCAAGCTCTACCACTGAGCTCAGCCTTAACTTTTTTTTAAAAGAAGAACTTTTAAATTTTATTTTGAGATTACAATATAATTACATAATTTCTCTATTCCCTTTATTCCTCCAAAGCCCTCCTATATACCCCTCCTATCCTCAGCCCTTAGAAAAAGGAAAACAAAAAGCAAACACAAACAAAAGAAAGCACCTTTAAGACTGGGTCTTAGTTGTCCAAGCTGACTTTGAAATCATCATGTTGACTAGACTGCCTCAAACTTGAGATCCTCCTGCCTCAGCCTCCTGAGTAGATAGGAGTACAGGTGTGCCCCACCATGTCTGGTACCTGTTCTGTCTTCTGAAGGATGTGAATTTGCTGAGCTGCACTAGGCTGGAAAGCCTTGTTCATGTTAGATTTCCAATTGGTTTATGATACTTAAAACTTTTCAAATATATCAAAATTAACAGCACAGTGGGAAGAGAAAACAAGAATTCAATGAATTCAAGGAAGGAAGAAAAGACTTTGGTTTCAAACCTACTGTCCTGTTTGGTGTTTCATAAACACGTATTATTTAAAAAATAATAAAAGCATAATACTCATTGAAATAACAATGAAAATATGAAATGCAACTAACCTTATTAGTGGCATAAGGTGATCATTAAACTGTTTGTCAAAAAGATGAAAAATAGTATTGGCCTGTTGTACAACATCCAAAAAATAGAGATTTGCATTCCTAGAATCTGATGATGGAATTCCTAAAATTGGAAGGCACAAATAAATGAGAACCAACCTTGAAAAAAGCTGGGCAAAAGAAAAGAATGATTTTATATATACCACATGAATAAAAGTAACTGTCATTTAATAAATCAGCAATGATTCTATAGAATTTTGTTAAATAGTTTAATAAAATTCATTCAAAGTTAACCATCCTCATGGTTCATTTAGATAAAAATGAATCAACAAAGCACCTGTTAGTATTTAGGCACCTGTACTGGCCTGCCTTTGGAACCCTGACAGGATATGCCTCAGCTGCTGCCACTAAGAGCATCACCTGTGCCCTGTTAAAAGGGTCCTGCCCACCTTCCATCCTTCTCTCTCTCTCTCTCTCTCTCTCTCTCTCTCTTTCTCTCTTCTCTCTTCCCCCCTTTCCTCTCTCCCACTGCTCCTGAACCCGATGATATCCCCCCTCCCCTTTCCACTTTTTATGATTCTTTCCCCCTAATAAAAAAGCCCCCTGCTTGAACTCTGTTGCATGGTCTTTCTCTCTCCAGTCGCTTTTTAAAACTTAACAACAGTCTGGGCTCTACCTTCTCCTTCTTTCCCCACCTTTGACCATGTCACATGAACACTTCCAATAGTTTTTCTTATAACCTGGTCTCCCTCCTGCCCTCCCTCTGACAGTTAAAGTTGTGTTCCCTGTGGTCTTCTAGTTCAGGGTTACCCTCTCCTGTAAATTACACACAGCATTCATCATACTCTATCCACTCTTTCCTCAAAAATATTCAAAATCTCATCATCTCAGACCCGCATTTCCTCAACATCTCCTACTATTCTGTGTGGTAGGCAACCACATTCTGACACCAAAAGATGGAACTGGAACCCTTCTGGATCTGTTTCCCCTTTTCATAAAAAGTAACCTACAGACTCAAGGTTCCTTGCTCTTTTTAGCTCTATACGCCTATGTTTCTATCCAAAATTAGGACTAGACTAAGAGAAACACCCACAGCTAATGATAACATACAACCTTATTAACTAGAGCTCTTTATATGATTTTTCTTCAACTTTACAACCAGAAAACAAAGGTGCTGTTTTGTACAAAAGAAACAATCAGTTGGTAGGAAAATTAAAGGTGCTAACACAAACATAATAAAAAAACTGAAACACATGTAGAAAATACTAATCACAATAAAACATGAAAATTAAGACAGTACTAGTGAATGTACTTAGCTAATAATATAAGAAAATTGAAGAATATTTAATAACATACATCAAAACTGTATATGTATATACATATAGGCTAGAAGAAGCATAAATTGTAAGGAACAAGCCTTGTAGGGAAAAAGGTAAATTAATTTAAAATAAATAACAAAAATTTAAACAAATTTTAATTTAAAATGAATTTTAAATTAAAAATTTTAGTAATGAAAATTATTTTAAAATATGTATACATAATATACTTTTGGGATTTTACCGAAAGCAAATAATTTGAATAAAGGGTAAACTCTACAATGCTACTCCAGCACTCTCTCGTCACTTGACAGAATTTTATGTAATCATTAAGAACAATGGCAGTAAATACTAACCATATGCGGCATATTCCCAGTCCAAATGAAATTTTCCTGAACATTTCCAAGTTCAGAATTATTGCTATTAAAACAAATAGGGAGGTTTCTATACTAGATAAACAATAAAGTCTTCATATCAGATTTAAATTCATATTACTTTGCTATCTTTTTAAATTAACAATTTAAGTGTGTGTGTGTGTGTGTGTGTGTGTGTGTGTGTGTGTGTGTGTGTGTGTATTAGTCAGAGGACAACATTCAGGAGTCAGTTATCTCCTTCCACCATGGAATACAGACAGGTACTGAACTCAGCTTGTCAGGGTTGGCAGCAAGCAATTTTATTGCTGACCCATTTTGCTGGCCCTTATTTTTATTCAACATCTTCTGTAATCACCACATCTCTGAAGATTTAAATCACTTCAATACAAATAACCACACTAAGTCATTTACTACTGGCATGGGTTAAATACTTGATGTCAATAGTCTGCTATAATTAACTTAAAATACACTTACAGACATTGTTGCTTATGAAGGTAATAAACTGGAATTATGCCAAAGTGATTGATTGATGGCTAAATTTGGTACATTATTAAAGGTTCCTAGGATGGTGTTTTACACAGCCAATAAGAGACCTTCTGAGCGGTATATACTTTCTACATGCCAGAGTATATTGCTGGGGGTAGAGATACTAACCAAATTGAGATTACAACACTTGAGAACTTATATGCTGTTATCTCTAAAAATAGTTTTACTCCAAATATTCAGTTTACTCACCACTTTAATGAGCTCTCTGATTCATGTGTCTTCTCAGAGGCCTTCTCTGACTACCCTTTCATAAAAAGCTTTTGGGGGGCTGGCGAGATGGCTCAGTGGGTAAAGGTACTTGCTGTCAAGCCTGACCACATGAGTTCGATCCCTGGAACAAATATGGTGGAAAGAGAGAACCAACTCCTGCAAGTTGTCCTCTGACTTCTACATGTGTGAACACACACAAAATAATAAATAATGTAAAAGAAAAAGAATTCCTGCCTATAAACCCTTCACCCTGCCTCTTCATTACTATTCTTTACCCCTTACCCAGTTTTGATTTTCTTTACTGTACTTCTTAATCATTTGTCTATTATTTTTACAAGAGTATGAACTCCATGATTAGGCATGTAAAAAGTCTGTGCTAAATGAATGCTGACAGGAGACAGACACTAACAAATAGAAATGTCACTGTGATTTTATTATTATAAAAAGTCAATTCAATAAGAATAATGGATAAGTATGCTACAACAGGAGCACTACTTCATCTAAGGTGATCAGCACAGTGTCTCTGAAAAGTTGACATCTTAGTTGAGGTCAGATTTTAAAGACAACTATAAAGAGCCAAGGGAAATGCAGCATAGTGAAGAACACGTGGAGCCACACATAGATCATGCTGTTTTAAGCAGTTCGTTTTTATTCCCCACAAGAGATAAAATCACTAAGGAGTCTTCAACAAGAAAATAATAATTAGTCTGGCTATTACATAGTAACTTGGGAAGGCAAGATTGGACACAAGGACCAGTTAGGAGATAACAGTGTTCAAGGTGCATCAGTAGATAAAGCAAAGTAGACAAACAAGTTCTGTTTGAATGTATACTGACATGGTTTGCTGAAGAACTGGCTATCAGCAAGGAAAACAGGAAGGTTAAGGGTTTGGTAAATAATGACTTCCTAAAAATCCTGAGAGAACAGTTAGAGGAAGAAAGTTTGTTTTGTTACTTTAGGCTGGCCTCAAATTCATAGTGACTTCTGCCTTGGCCTCCTGTAAGCTGGGATTGCAGACATGAACCACCATGCCTGGCTGAAGAGTTTCATTTTTGAAACATTAAATCTGAGATACCCACTTAACAGGTCATGGGGTCAGGTTATCCCAGGTGAAGGAGACTAGAAGTCAGAGAAGATGTCATTATAGTATAATACAAAGAAGTAAACCCAAAAGAATGAGGCCAAAAACTTTAATATAATTTATTCCTTTCCAGATTTATTTTTGAATATTTTCTCTCTAAATTTCATTATTTAATTCCTAAGCAGAATTATTATCTTTATTTATGCTCCTTGACATTTTACAGCATAGAGCATTGTTATACATTCTGTCAATATATTGTGCCAAGTTTTGTAGTCTACGACCTTATTCTACTAGATACAAACAATATGAGAGAATTATGCCTATATTTAGTTTCCATCACCTCAAACATCCTAGTATTAAAGAAGCTCAAAATACACTGTATTGAACTGAATTCATCACATAGAAGTCATACATAAAACAGCATTGTGAGTATTGGTCAACCAAACAGGACCAAAGGAGTTTAGCAGAAAGGTAATAGAAGTATACTTACCAGCAAGCCCCGTTTCTAAAGCATAATCAATATGCTCAATACATAAAAATTCCACAAGAATGGTAAAAATTCTAAAGGCATTCCTTGGTAAATCAGAAGGATCAGAAAGCTTTAAAAATAAGCAAAAATAGTATTACTCTTTAAGTCTACATTTTTAAAAAGCCACCTTAATAAATCAATCTTTTTTTATATAGAACACTATTTCAGGTAACAAAACATCAGTGTTCCCCTCCCACTGTCCACACAATTACTGGATTGGTCTGTAACTCTCCTGACCTAAAACAGTGTTTTTTTCAAATCTAGATTATAATCCATGAGTGAAATCGAATTAGATTTCCAAGAAACACACACACACACACACACACACACACACACACACACACGTATGTGTGCATACTGTTCCATGTGAGATGCATTTTTAACTATGGTTATTATAGTCAAAGAAGTTTGAGAGCCACTAACAAAGAGGGCTGTTCTCGTAAAACTCAAAACAAAACAAAAGATTCTTATGGAATCAGGATATGAAAACAATTAATATGCATAGGGAAAATATAACCAGACCGAATTTTAACTCATCATGTCCTGGTGGAGCAAGTCTTTAGAATGTTACTAAGTTTTACTAAGTCTCATTTTTTTTCATATATAAGACAATCTAATATTGACAGTATTTCTCTTTAGTCTTAAGGTTGGAATAATACAGGCAAATGTTTATAGCACAGAACTTGACTTACACTAAATTCACAATTTTCATTTTAATGTTGCTGCTGCTAGACTACTTAAAGAATTATTGGTAGTTCCGTTGAGAAAAACGCATTCTTCTTAAAAAGGAAAGAAATTATTCTCAACTTCTTTTAACTGCTTTCTATATTAACTATAAATTGCTTTCTGCCTCTGTCAAAGCTACTTACAGTATCTATATGATTTTCAGGGTAATACTACAGGTGAGAATTCCTTATGCAAAAGAGTTGAGCCTAGAACTATTAGGGATTTTGAACTCTCTGGATTTTGGGGTATTTGCAAACATACAATGACATATCTTGGAAGACTCAAGTATAATCATAAAATTCATTTATGTTTGATTATACTCCCTATTTGGTACTAGACTCCTTAACCACTATTCTAACCTTTAACTCTTACCAATCTCTCTACCCCTTTTCTTTTGTTTCTGATGCTCAACAGGTGTCCTTACCTGCATCACAAATCATAAAAACCAAGCCTAAGTTCTCACCTTTCTCCTGCTTATATCCCCAAATCCATGTTTAACATATAAGAGAGATAAACAGAAAACTGCTTTAAAAAATACAGAAGACATCAACAAATAAGACCTGACATTTATAGACTACTCAGCCAACAATGTGAAGATACACATTGTCTCACATATACAGACAACCATCAATATGGACTGTGCCTTGCATCTCAATAAATTTAAAAAGAATGGACATCATGATGCAAAGTTTGCCCACTAACTACAATGGTGTAAAATCTAAAACCATTAACAGAAAGGCATCTAGGCATGTTTAGCAACCAAATAACACAACTGCTCAGTCACTCTAGGGCCAGGAAAAAAAAATTTCAAAGAGAAATTAAAGAGCATTTCAAAATGAATTAAGACATACTAAAAAAATCAAGTAACTAATTGCGCATATAGGAAAAAGTCAACAACCTTAGCTTTTACCAAGAAAAAAAATCAAACCAAGACAAAAAACAACTAGGAAAGGTGCAAATAACACCTAAGTAAGTTGAAAGAAGGAAACAATAATGAAAAGAAACCAGGGTGGTGGTGGTGGTGTATACCTTTAATCCCGGTACTTGGGAGGCAGAGTCAGGAGGATCTGAGTTTGAGGCCAACCTGGTGTACAGAAAGAGTTCCAGGACACCCCGGGCTACACTTAAAAAGCCTGCCTTGAAAAAAACAAACAAACAAAAAATAACAGAAAACAGAGAAATCTAAGAAAAAAAAAGAAAAATTAATGAAACCAAAAAAGTGGTTGTTAGGGAAAATCAGTGAAAATAATATACCTTTCAAGATTTGTTTGGGAAACAAATTACTGACCTTGGGAATAAAATAGGTAACTGTTGCATCAGTTTCTACAAAATATGTTAAGATAGTAAGAAATATGTCATGAATAACATGAATAATTTGGTAACTTGAATAATGTTTATTCCAATAAATACAATTTTGATGAAATATGAACGCTTTTAAAAGATACAAACTAAGGCCAATGTATTGGTGTAGTACACTCTTAATCCCAGCAATTAGGAAGGAGAAGCAGGTGGATGAATCTCTGTGAGGTGAGGTCAGCCTGGTCTACATAATGAAACACTGTCTCAAAACAAGCAAGACTGACAAAGCTCACTTAAAATTATATTACCTAAATATTTCTGTATACAATAAGCAGGCTGAATTTTTAGTTAAAAATCCTTACAAAGAAAACCGCAGCCCAGAGTAACTTCCCTTGTGAGCTATAGCAAGCGTTAAGACAGAATGATCATGATCCAAACCCACAAACAATTGAAAGGGGAGGCAGAAGCACTTTGCATATCCTTCTATGGGTATAGCATTACCTTCTTTATTAAATCAAGACAAAGACATCAAAGGCCAATATCCTTCAAAAGCACTGATGCAAAACTTCTTAACAACATTTAGCAACATGGTCCAGCAAGATGGCTTAGAAAGTAGTTTGCTGCCATGCCTGATAACATGAATTCAATTACTGGGACCTACTTTGTAGACAGAGAGCCCACTGACTTCCTTAAGTTTTCCTCTGACCTCCAAAATGTGTGCCCTGATACAATAAATAAAGGCAGTTTAAAATAAAAAAGGTTTTGCTTTTTATATTTAGCAACCCTATTACTCAACATTGTATAAATATAACAATAAGAAAATGACACAGAATGTTGGTTGCACATGCCTTTAATCCCAGCACTCGGGAGGCAAAGGCAGGCGGATCTCTGTTGAGTTTGAGGCCACCCTGGTCTCCAGAGCGAGTTCCAGGACAGCCTCCAAAGCAATACAGAGAAACCTTGTCTCGAAAAAAAAACCAAAACAACAAAAAAGAAATGACAAGTGATGACCAACTGGGGTTTATTAAAGGAATGCAAGGCTAACATCTGAAATATCAGCTAACATGACTCTCCCAAAAGAACAAAAAGAAAAAATTTAATAAAAAATCTAACACCAAAATTTTTGTTTTATGTCTTGTTTGTTTATCTGTGTAATACAATCTCCTGTGGCCATGGCTGTCTTCAATCAAACAAATTATGTGACCCTAACTCAAGATCTTCCACCTCCATTTTCCAAGTACTAGGTCAACTAACACCTAAACTTAATAGGACACGCTAATCAACTAGTATTCACTCCTCACTGGATAGATGGCTCAGTGGTTAAGAATGTTGGCTGAAAGACCAAAGAACCCAGGTTCAATTCTCAGTATCCATATGGCAGCTTACAATTGTCTGTAACTAGTTCAGAAGATCTGATATCCTCACAACAGATATACATGAAAGCAAAACACCAATCAATGCTCATAAAATAAAAATAAATAAATGAAAAAAAGGTTTTCCTCAAGTTAAGACAGTATTTATGAAAAACCTATAGTCAACATCATATTTAGTAGTAAAAGACTAAATGCTGTACTCCAATGGTCAGGTGTAATACAAGTATTTGTTGTCTGCATGTCTTTCCATGACACACTGTACTGTTAAGTCTAGTCAGAGCAAAAAGGCACAAGAACTAAATAAAAGGCATCTATATGGAAAGGAGTCAGTAAAGCTGCCTTAATGGTAAAATAAAATGATAGTTTATGTAGAAGGTCTATCAAATTCTATAAAAAAGATTATTAGAAGAGTAAATTTAACAGGTAAAGACCTAACTACACACTTCTATATACCAAGTTAAACTTGAAACTAAATAAAAGTTTAAAAATTACTTTTTAATTTTTTGGTTTTCTGAGACAGGGTTTCACTTTGTAGCCCAAGCTATCCTAGGACTCACAATGTAGTCTGATTTGCCTTGAACTCATAGAATCCTTCTGCCTCAGTCTCCCTTGTGCTGTGATTACAATCATGCCAAATTGAAAATACTTTTATATAATAATAATAAAAATACAGCAATTCTTCCCAAATAGAATCATAGATTCACTGTCATTCCAATTAAAACCAGATCTTTCCCTGAAAAGAAACTGATAAGCTATTAGACATTAATGAAATATAAAATGGTTCATATGGAAATGTCAGAGAACATACCACTTGACTCAAGGCCTATTATGTCATTACAGCTGAAACAGTACGATATTAGCACAAAAGATAAATGGTACAGAACAGAGATTAGAAACAAACCATAAATAAGGAGTCAACTGATTTTTAACCAAGGTTGAAAGTAATTTGTTAGAGAAGTCTTCAATAAATGATGGCAAAATAAATGGAAACCTAATCATAAAAAAATATAAACTTCAATCCATACATGATTATATGAGATTCCTAAGTTAATTCAGAGCTGACTATAGGCTTAATAAGCAAAACTGCAGATGATTAAACTACTAGAAAATCTAAAAGGTAATTCCTGTAACTCTTAGCTCAACAAAGATGTACCTGCAATTTAAAAAAATGCCACTTACAACAGATGTGTTCAAATACATTTTATCAAAATTAAGAACTTCTATGCTTTGAAATATTAAATTGCAAAATCAAATATCTGATGAACAAACTATAGCCAGATTAAAGAACTTAAAAAGTATTCAAAAGACAAGCTGACTCTAAAAGCTCACTAAAGATATGAATGAAACACTTCATCAAAGAAGACATCCAGATAACAAACACATGAAAGGAAGCCTGGTGTGAAGCCATCAAGTCATTAGGGAAAACGAAATATTAAAAGCCTAAGCTAGCACTTCACACTCCACTAGTTTAGTGTTTCTTAAGAAGAATACCCTATGACTCACATCATTGCCAAGTATTTTTGAGATTAATTCATGCTGATTTGTTTAATTCTAGCTGATTCATTTAAATTGGTACAGCTTTCTAGTGTATGAACAATGCCATTATTTTTAATTTCTGTTTCATTGTGTTTACTTCTAGTTTTTTGCCATAATAAAGAATGCTGCAATGACA